GCATGCCCTGGTTTCTTCTGGCTTTCCGGAAAGAACATCAGTCTGGGAGCCAGCTTATGCTGAAGTGTTGGTCACAGTGGGTTTCCATCACCAGGAATAAAGGTATGGCAAAAGAAAAGGAAAAGAGAGCAATGTTTGATCCCAGAGTGGCACTGATGGGAGCCTGTGAAGTACCTGTAGCCTTTCTAGTGCCCCCCTCCCACATAAGGCCCTTGCTGTCTGAGAACTGAGGGCAACCTGGCCAGTGGGAGGCTTGAGAGCCTGATATTACAGCCATTTACCCCTCCCCTTCCCCTTCCGGGCCTGGTGTGGGGCTCAGCCACTTCGGGGTAACATGAGCCATCCAATCTCCTCTCCATCTTTTTTCTGTGGACTCTGGACTCTGCTTGTTTTGAGGGGCTCCAGGTCTAAGAGCAGGCCCCATGGCTGCCAAGACAAGGTCCTAGCCATTGATATTCACACCTTCCCCTTTTGATATCCCAGCTCCTGCCAAGGACCAACCCCGTCCTTCCTCAGGTTCAGGTCAAGGAGCCAGCATCCTTTCCCAGCCTTCCCTGCTTCCCAGACTGGTTAATTGAGTTGCTTTATCAGCCATCATCATGGGGCAGAGGGTGATAGAGCCTTTTCCTTCGTGGAGGGAGAAATGGGAGGGCGAGAGGAGACTGAAACCTCCTGTTAGCTTATCACTTCATTTTATCTTACCTCCCACCCCTACCTCTAGGCAGCCAGTGGAGACTTGCAGGCTCCAAATAAAATGCTGAGAGCCTTCCTGGGAGGAATTGGGAAGGACTTGGACACAGAAGATGGCCCATAGGGCCTTGTGGAGGTCATCGAGAAGGGCTCTGTGCAAGGGCTGAGGACAGGGTTGGGCTGCTGTGAAAATCCTAGTGAAGGTGTATTCAGGGCTCTGGGGGAGCTCCACAGATGGCCTTTGATGGCCCAGCTCTTAAAGGGAAAGGATCAAAAGTCCTGGGCAGGACTCAGAGCCTCATAAATCATGGACTTGGAGTCAAAGGGCTGGAAGGGACCTGAGTGCCAGCTTACAGACATGGTCTCCTTGAGAGATTTCAGACCTAAGGAGCCATGAGTGCTGGGAAACTGAACTGGGCCTGGGGTTGGGCCCATGTGGCCTCTGCATGTGGAACAGTGTTCATGGGTATCACAGAATCGGGGCTGGCTAAGTGGATCCCCAGAGCCCTCCTGGCTCCAGGATGCTGAGGAAGAGACCCAGCTCAGGTCCAGAGAGCAAGAGCGCATGTGCACACATGGTAGCTCAGGACCCAGCTGGCAAGACTCCTTGGCACTCAATGCTCCTCCATCTAGAAAAGTATAGATTCCTCCCACTTGGGCTGAACTCCAGCAAAACTGGTTTATTCCATTAGAGTAGTGAATTAGGCCTGATGGTCCTGTTCCCCTCTGGCAATGGCTGCAGGAAAAGGAAAGCAGTTGTTCGGAGAGGCAGACCAAACTCCGGCTCCTCCTGGGGACTCATGAAGCCCGTGGATCCTTCCCTGCTTGGGCCATCCGTGAGAAGAACAAAGACACCCAGAAGCCAGCCACAGGCTCCACCTCCACTGGGTCTGCTCTGCAACCGGCACCATGGTTTGCATGGAATAGTCCTAATAATGGCTGGTTTGCTGTTGAGTGACAGATAAGGCCTTCTCCCCATTTCCCGGGTTTCTTTGCACATGCAACCATGTAAGTAAATGCAGCAGCGTGCCCGGCACTGGTGAGTGTGACATGGCAGGTTGTGCCAAGTCAGATTATAACTACAAGGCAGGGACCCCTGCCTGAGTTTTCCTTGTATATTCCCAGTGCTTGGCACAATCCTATGCACTCAGAACACTTGTTTTATGCTTGATGCATGGAATTAATGAGGTGGTGGAATGAGAGTGGGCAGGTGGGAGCCCTCCCTGTCAGCATTTTGCTGTACTAGAGGGCTCCTTGGATTTGGGAGTCAAGAAACCCAGTCTTTGGCCCCAGTTTTGCCCCTACTTGGTTGACACTCAGATCACTTCCAGCCCTTTTACTCCAAGTCCATGGTTTATGAGGCTCTGAGTTTCTCCTCTCTGGGCCTCAGTTTCCCCAGCTGTTCTATGAAGACGTTGGGCCAGATAATCACTAAGATTCATATTCTGATTCCTGCTGCTGTGAAGCAAATTACCCCAATTTAGTGGTGTAAATCCAATAAGCATTGTATTTTGCTCGTGATTTTATGGGTCAGGAAGTTAGGAAGGGATGGTAAAGAGACCTTACTTAGAGTCCCTCGTGCAGCTGCAGGCAGATGCCAGCTGGGGCTGCAGACTTCTGAAGCTCAGCTGGGCTGAATGTGCACCACGGTGCGTTTATGTGGCTGGCAGTTGATGCTGGCTGTTGGCTGGGAACTTGGCTGAAGCTGTTCACCTGCAAACACATGGCCTCTCTGGAACAGGCTAGTCGCACGGTGGTTGCACTTCTTAGATGGTGGCTGAGTTTCCCCAGAACCGG